CTACCAGAGCCCGACACGTGTTCTTCGGTGATGGCCACTGCGGTAACAAGCGCCGTACAAGTAGCTACCGGACGAATTCGCGTGTGTGACTGTACCAAGTACTACTACTAACCTAGGCTCGATACCAGCCACCCCAGCCATGATAGTGGCCAGGACAGCCCATATATACTTGATACGCGTCCCAACAACTACTGAGTAGACTGGTCACGAGCCTAGTACGTTTAATCACCATACTTCAATGTTCAGACGTTCAGAAACACTCACAGTTTCCTCAAAAACTGCAGTGCTACGGATCAAGCTACCTGTCTGACGATGTGCTAATGACGTGGTCCAAGGACACGGCCATCGCGTCCGAGAAACATTCCCATTGATCGACGCTCCGTTATATCAAGGAAAATATATTTGTACAATCTGGATTGCTCTTGATAGAGATGATGTTCTGAAGGAAGGGTTATCAACGACGCTCCGCAGGAGATGTACGTCTTCCGCACTGCGCAAGCAAAGCCTTGAGAAGAGGAGAGGTCTGCCAGCTTCCGACCAGTGCTTGCATACGAGGCTGGGCGCGGCAAGCCCACGCTTCAAGCGATGATATTCGTCCCACGAGGACTCCGACTCGAGAACAGTATATCTCTGAATCTTGATTCCGTCGGGAGGGCTGAGGTAATCGAGAATGCGGGATAGCAACTCGGGAGGGAGATCAGCTCCTGAGATATGAGGCGTCTTTGACGAAAGGGATGAGAGAGTGGGCGGCGCTTTGTTGGACACACACAGACGCTCAAGAAGTTATGACTCTTGTGTGTTTGGATTAACCAAAACTCGTGTTATCGAAGGAGAGTACAGTGTCCGAAGCATTGGCACTATAGGTTCGATCCACATCCGCTCTGATTTTTCCTCTCCTAAAGGCGCCCAGCGCCACAAAGTCCTCCGCCTAATTCGGTGGTAGCCTTCACCCGTCTTCTTCACCAACATTACAGACCTGCCCTTGTCTTCCCGTTCTCCACTTCGAAAAACTTATGAGCGAATACTGGGTGTCACATAAAAAGTACTTTTGCAAGTACTGCGACATCTACATCGCAGATGACAAGCCATCGCGGACTCAACATGAAACCGGCCTGCGGCATAAGGGCAATGTCGAGCGATTTGTGCGGGGGCTGTACAAGGCTGGAGAGAAGCGAAAGCAGGATTCTGAAGAGGAGAGACGAGAGATGGCTCGCATCGAACGAGTGAGCCCTCACCGAAGCCCTGGGAAGGCTGTGCAGCGACTAACATACCAACAGGCAGCTGCGGCGTCGTACGCGCAAGATGTCAGCTCTGGTCTGGTCAAACCCGGCAGTAGTAGCGTCGCATCTGCAAAACAAACCCAAGCAGGCCCAAGTAAACCTTCTGCGAGACCCTCTGACCCATACGCGAACTACACGACCGCTGCGTCACTAGGCTACGCGGACCCCGATGAGGAAAGGCGGAGGGCAGAAGCAGAGAGGCGAAGGAATCAAGGAGTCGTTGGCGCATGGGAGGTTATTGCTGTAGAGGAGCCTGTGTCTGCTGGAGAAGCTGAAGAAGCTGGAGAAGAGCAAGAGGAAGCAGGAGGTCGTGAGGATGGTGGGGAGGGCGGTACCCCTCCAGTGCCTGCGCAGCCTAGTCTAAAGCGCGAAGCGGAAGCGCCTCCGGATGACGACGACGCTCGCCAGTTCAAATTTCGTCGAAAGAAGCTAGACACTGGCTTCGGCGAGATATACGACCCAGGGCTCATACCTGTTAAGCTCAAGGCGAAGAAAGAAGAGCTGGCAGAGTCAACTCTGAAGATGGAGGAATCCCTCGCACCCGTTCGACTTGCACCCTCTGTCTCGAACCCTAACGCCACAGCCATGCCAAAGTGGTCCGCGAGAGGTTGGTCAAAGCCTGGGGAGGCAAAGGAGGCAAAGGAGGCAAAACAGTACGAAGTGCTGCTTGCAGCCGAGCCGCCAATCTTGCCTAATGCTGCCGAATCCGCTGCGGTTAACGAAAATACGACGGCATCAGATGCGCAAGAGACCACGCAGGTCACAGACGACCCACCTGCGGAGAATAAAGAGCCGGAGGTTAAAGGAGAAGAAGCGTTCGAGGTCAAGAAGGAATCGGAGACCATTACTTCCATGGCGCCACCGAGCTTGTTCAAGAAACGTAAGGCACCTTTGGCGTCAGCTGGAAGTCGGGGAAGGGGGCTGTGAGCAGGTGGTATACTTTCTCCGCACCGTGTGGTCGTTACGGAGCTGACGGTTGGAAAATCTGACGTGGTACAAGCATCCGACGACAAGCTGAGGCGCATGAGCGAGATTATGTCGGCGTCGAAGCACCGGCGGTGGATGATGCTGCCGCAATACTACTTTACTCAATGATGCCAGTTTGTTGGGAGGCGTATTATACATTGTTCGGTGCGCGCCGCCGTCTACTGCTGACGCTTTAATTGGGGAATTTAGTAAGCGATCTGACTTCAAAGCTTCACAAGCATCCCACCCGCGGGACTAGTGGTTTTGGGATTGCTGAGACCTCGAGGGCGTTCATAGAAGCGGTATAGCTGAAGCTAGATGCCGTAGCCGCGCGAAGTACATGAATGTCCGAGAGCAGAATCGGGCATTCGGGAGTGTTGTGTGTCGAGGGTGCTCTGGCTGTAGCACGAAGCTATGGCGTCTCGGTTGGCATAATGAGCTTGAATTTATTTGCAGGAACACGATACAAATACACAGCGGAGTAGCTATGCTACATGTCTATAAGTACAGCCGAGGACATAGTAATAAGGTATTGGTATCGAGGCGGCGCAGCCGATTGGTATCAAGTCCATGTAAGATCCGTATCGAAAGAACCACGTCTAGATGGCCGCTCTACGCACGACGTTCACGCAAGCCACAACAGTGTCCCACAGCTCGTTCGCTGCTGAGCTGGCGCCAGTTTTCTCCCTCGCAGCATGGGAAGGGGTCGGGACGGTGACGCCCTGCTCGATGAAAGACATCGGGGTGAACACCGACGAGACGAATAATTTGAGGAATCCTGCCCCTGCGCTGACGTCGTCGCCGAGACTGAACGACAACGCCTCCGAGTCGAGGGTTCCAGAGCCGATGACCATGTGCGAGTGCTTGCGCAGCGGCGGCCGGGGGTCGGAAGGGTCGGGGTGGTAGACCATACTGATGCTGTACCCTGCGGAGTCCATGCTCACGAGGTACGGCCAGAGATCGTGGTCAGAGTAGTTGTGGAGCACAACGGAGTAGACGGAGTTTTTGTCGTCGTCGACAATCTGTGCGCGGCCATCCACAAGCAGGTTACCACTGACACGCGTCCAGGTGGTCGGGTCCAAGCGGTAGAGCTCCATCGTGACCAGACCGAGCATCGGCCGCTCGGGGTTCTTGCGATGGAGGTGGAGGTGGAAGCGCGCCGCCGACTCAATAGTGCGGAGGTCCGCACCAGAGTCACTGCTAGGGAGGTGGATGATACGACGGCAGTTGGCAGCGATCATCGAGTCATGCCGCTCGACGAGCATCTCGCGCTTCCGGAGGGTGACGGAGACATCGGCATGGGCGGCGTTCCTGACGCGAACAATGTTCACGCCAGTTCTAGACTGATTGATCGAAGACGTGGAAGATGTCTGCAGGGGAAGAGTGCGGCGGAGACGGCAGCGTCGGAAGATGGAGAAGAGGGAGCGGCGGAGGTGGACGCGGAAAGGAACGCGATTGTTCCATCTGGTGACGCGTGCCCAGCCCTGAAAGGCGCGGGGCTTCGATTGCGACTTGGTGCGTGCGAGGCACCAAGTGGGGTGGACCTCTGTCGCAACGTAAGAGGCGAGAGTAGGGTTGAGGGAGCCCATGTAATTGTGCGCATGCAGCGAGAACTCTGTGCCTTCCACGATGCCGTGAATGGCGCCCGCATCGATGCGCAGGTTGTCGTAATCATGCATGTCGATGGAGACAAGTCGTGGATCGGTCTGGAAAGGTATGCCGTCGAATAGGAGACGTTCCTTGTTGCGGCCTACGACAACCGGCTTGTGGCCCTCCATACGTTCTTCGACGAGCTCGAGGAATTCGGTGCAGGGAAGCGCGTGGAGAGGCTCGCTGTCCTTGACAGACAGCAAGGCGTGGGTGAAGAGCCCGCCGCCTTTACCAGCAGAAGCGCACTCGCCAGGGCGAGCCGCGGCGAAAAGGACATGTGTGTCGCCGTCTCTACGAGCGAACCCTCGGTAGAGATCAGCGGAAGTTGAGCCAGCAAGAGCACTCCTCCAAAGCCCACTGTAGAGGTCATCCGGCATGGCCTTCATAGTAGGTGTGTAGCGGACATTGCGCCTGTTTCGAGCATCTGTTGGTGAGAAACAACAGTCAAGGATGACGGTGATGTTGTTGCCCTTGATATCAGCGAGGTCCCGAAGCATGGCGTGGAAAGAGCGGTCGGAGATACCAGCAACCCGTCCTTCGGGGGCCTTACTATCGTGGTCGTAGGGGCAGAGGACTTCGACATCCTTCATGCCGTCATTGTACCAGCCTCGTGGAGAAGGGATTGATCCGCCGTGACCGGCGAAATAAATGACAATAGCATCATCCTTCTCGATAACAGGATTATTGACGAGGTGATCCATGAATTTGTCTTCAATCGCGCGCTTCGTAGCCTGTGCGTCGGCTAGAAGGCAAATGTGCTCCCGAGGAACATGCAGGTCCTGCGTGAGCCAGCGTCTCATTGACTGCGCGTCATCGACACAGGCCTCGAGGTCCCAGATGTTGCCGCTCTTATATTTGTCAATGCCTCAGAGTTGGAAGGTGAGCTGTCGAGCATGCGTGACGAACAGACTGGAAACTCACCAATAAGCAAGGCAAAGAGTCTAGTCGCCATAGTGCATAAAAAGAGATGAAGAATAGTGCTAGTAGACGTCGTACGACGTGGTGGGCAGCTTGTGCTGCCAGGGAATGCAGAGGTGTTGAGTGTTCGGAACCGACTGTAATGCTGCCTTTATAGCGTTCAAATATAACTGCAGGCGTTTGTTGAAGGCTATGACGACGCAGCAAAACGAGGTTGTCGGAACATCGGCATCAACGAAGACATTGATGTAAGGCAAGTCACCCTGTAAGAAACCTGCAAGTATACGATGCGTGCGCATAGGACACCGCAAGGGGCAACGTACTATGCACGCGAGTCCACAAAAGTGGACACTACCGCCCGAAGATCATACGTATAGGGTACAGGGAAAAGCCATAGTCCGGTCATAGTCGCGTCCTGGCCAGTCGCATCGTCATGACGGGAATGTGAGGAGGCGACGAGGACTTCGATTGGTACTCAGCTAGCTTGTTCAGGAAGCCGCACTGCCACAGGTTGAGGTCCGGTGCCGTTACCTATGAAGTCCCCTTTCCAGACATTTACCCGCAAGCGATGACGGCTGCGAGAAGGGTCTTGCTCGCTGCGCGAGGACGTTCATAAAACATCCCGCACGAACGTTGCCAGGTGTTCGGGAAAGAGCGCAGTCAGCGCTATGCACGGGAGTACCTGTAATTCTTCAGGTTTGAATATGAGCGATGAGTAGGCTATACTGCAGCAAGTAAACAATAGATCAAGGTACCCATCTTTGTTAATTTGCTGAATCTAGCAACATGGATGTTGCGGGCAAAGCAGTAAACTGCACCCGGCTAGGTCGAGCGCTTTGCGCCACGCGGGCGTCTAAAGACGCCGTGCAGGCTACGCCTATGTGGTCGCCCACTCACGCTTGCTCTCGACTTCCATCACGCTTGCCATCTGGTAGCCGTCCTCCTCATCCTCCAGATACCCATTCGGAACTTCTCTTTTTATTCTTGGACTTGTCTGTATAATAGAAAAGGCACGTACTGAGATCACAGAAGTTCTGAGAGACATAACCGACCAGACTTTCAGCCTCATACTGTACAAAATGAACTATATCTGTCAGCAATGTAAACAGCCCTTGCAAGTATGGCATTCATTTCGTTACAAAGAGCATGCGTCTAAATGCAGGCTTAGCTAGACCAGTCCTTGGTGGATCTATCGCCGTCAGCGTACGACATGATCGCCGCGTCGCTACCTCCTGCCTCCACGCCCACCGCGCGCAATGTTTCGAGAGCAGATAAGCTCGCACAGCTCCCCTCTCCAACCTCTGTCAAGGCAGCGTGGCAGCGTGCTGCGCAGAGCCCGTCGTCTTCCTCGCCATTATCTCCACGAAAGGCCTCCCAGCGCACGCCGGCATTGCCTAATGAGTCCTTTGTGCTCCTGCAGGACTCGGTTGTCCGCAAAATCCCCTCGCCTGCTCCGTCGCCTTCTCACACTAAGAAGCCGTCAACCTCAAAATCTCGGCAAAACACGCTACCTGCACACCCACAAACAGCTGCCCCAGAGGAGGTGACGCACCCAAACCCTTCGCCCCTCTCGCATCACCTCCGATCGACTCTGCGGCTCTTCAACCTTCTTTCTAGCCGAACAGAGGTTGATCATCCCCTTTGCTCAGAATGCACGCAGAGCCTTCTCGAGATGCTTGGTAAGCAACTCGAAGAGACGAAGAAGGAGCGAGACGGCTACATTGCGTTCGAAAAAGAGGTGCGGAAAGAGAAGGAGCGAGAGCGAGAGGGACCTAGCAAGGCAGAAGTGGACTCTAAGATTGAGAAGCTTAAGGAGGAAGAACGGCTTGCCATTGACCAGCTCAAAGCCGCGGAGAAGGAGCGGATGCAGCTCGAGGACGAATTGCGGGCCCTAGAGCTGGAAGAGAAGGCCCTAGAGGAGGAGGAAGCTGAGTAAGCGTGCTATTACGAATTCGAGCTGTCACTAAAGACTGCGGTAGGTTCTGGCGAGCGCACAACGCGCATCTGCTCAAGTCCGCGGAGCAGGCTGCGCAGCTCGCGTCTCTGCGTGCTGCGTACGCGGCGGACTCGGCGACGCTCGACAAGCTCGAACGCACGAATGTCTACAACGATGCGTTTTGCATTGGACACGATGGTGTTTTCGGTACCATCAATGGTCTCCGACTGGGTCGGGTACCTGGAGTACCTGTGGGTTGCTTCCATTGTCTGGGCCGCCAGTCATCTGACTCTCGCAGGTTGAGTGGGCGGAGATTAACGCGGCATGGGGCCAAACATTGCTTCTGCTCTACACCATCGCAAGGAAATTAGACTATACTTTCGAAGGGTAAGTTCGAAGAGTTTCGGGCGCGCTCTGACATCAATATTGACTTTTTGGCAGATATCGATTGATCCCTATGGGCTCCTTCTCTCGCATAGAGCGGACGACTCCAACAGATAAGGCGACGTACGAGTTATACGGTTCAGGTGATTTACACTTGGGTCGGCTCTTGCATAACCGCCGCTTCGACTTTGCCATGGTAGCGTTCTTGGACTGCTTGAAGCAATTGATAGATTATGTGAAGTCGCAAGATCCACATGTTGACTTTCCGCACCAGTACGTCTTTCACCCTCGCCTGCGTGAGAGACACGTGCTCACTATGATTCACTCTCGCGCAGGATCGTCAAAGACAAAATAGGTGAAGCTTCGGTGAAGCTCCAGTTCAGTCAGGAAGAGGCATGGACACGCGCATTGCGACATGTGTTGCTCGCACTCAAGATACTGCTCAAGTGGACGACGAACGGCAGCAACGGCTGAGCGGCGCGCCTCTAAACGAGCGACGATCTCGCGGCCCAGGACTTCGCGCTCCCATGAGCTACCCTTCAGGCACGCCACTCTGTGCGCGACGCATGTACTTGGATCTTCCCCGGATCCGTTTGTCGACCCCGACAACATTCCCTCACGAGTAGCTACCGCTGTCCGCCTGCAAGCCCTATTGTCTGCCAATGCGATGTGTAGTTAACGTTTATTTCGAGCCAAAAAGAGTAATGCTCTTGATAGCTTGATCCGGGACGTGAGCAATGATGACACATTTAGCCCAAACAGCGTGCTGGTGCTGAAGTGCTTGAAACACTGTCTTAGACATTTTGCAGGTCGTGGTGGCTAACAGTGCTGCGTCTGAGATCGAGGAACTGGGGTCTTCACCATTGCGGCCGGGGTCTTCGGGTCAGGACGTCGGGGAGTATTGTGGTTTCGGTATTTTCTCGTCAATGACGCTCTCACATGTATATTATCTTTCTCTAGGGGGAAGGCGTCCGCGAGTGTGTGTGAACTCTGGCCGTTCTCGCACCGCCCAAATATTGTGTTACCTAGTCCGCGTATGTATGGCAGGCGCGGTGGCCACCAGGGTGACCTGCCCGACAGGCGCTGGTCACCCGTTCGCACACGCCGCTGGTGACCTCACAGCCTGGGTCGTACACCGTCCGCACACCCTGTACCTGTACCGTCCGCAGAAGGCAATTCCCCCCTTTGGCCCAACGCACGCCGACGTCGCGCCTGCGACTGCCTCCGTCACCGACATCCGCCTCGATCACAGCCGCGCGGGCGGCACATTGCTGGTGTTGCGACCGGGAGAGCATCGCGGCTGGCACGGCACATAGGAGGCATTCGGCGGCGTGGCTGGCGCGACCTGATAGCGAGGTGAGTCTCCTCGCGCTCCTGTTCCTCACTCTTTGACTCTCGCGCGCCGCCGCCATGAACAGGTCCTACGACGCGTACTGGCAGCACAGCCTCGTGCCGCTGCCATCCCTCTCCTCCCACAACCTGCCCACCCTCTG